GGCAGCTCGGGCATGGCAGCTCAGCCGCCAGGACACGTATCAACGAAAAGTATTAAGGAAAATATGAATCATTTTCGATACAAAATGTAGCCTGTGCTGCATCGTGAGCAGCGGGTGCAGGGATGTGATTCTGCCCTTTACTCCGCTCCGGTGAGACCCCACCTGGTGTGCTGCCCCGGCTCTGGGCTTCTCAGCACTTGCTTGTTGGAGCAAGTACAGAGGAGGTCGTGAAGATACTCCTATAGCTGGAGCATCTCTGCTATGGAGACAGGCTGAGAGCTGGGGTGGTTCAGGCTGGAGAAAAGGCGGCTCCAGGGAGAGCTTAGAGCACCTTCCAGTACTTAAAGGGCTACAAGACAGATGGAGAAGGACTGTTTACAAGGACATGGAGTGATAAGACAAGGGGGGATGGCTTTGAGCTGAAGAAGGGCAGGTTTATTTTAGACATAATGAATAAATTCTTTACTGGAAGGGTGGTGAGGCACTAGAACAGGTTGCCCAGAGAAGCTGTGCACATGTTCCATCTCTGGAAGTGTTCAAGGCCAGATTGTATTGGACTTTTAGCAACCTGGTCTAGAGGAAGGTGCCCTTGCCCAGGGCAGGGGGTTCAGAACTGGATGATCTTTAAGGTCCCTTCCAACCCAAGCCATTCTCTGACTCTATGACTCTCTGAAATGGCATTTATCCTTCCTTACCTGGCGTAAGTTTAGGTGAGAGACATGACTTGCCCTGGCAGAGCACAGAAGAGGTCTCTCTCATACTCTCAGAACATGCCAACAATGTGACTATCACAGCTCATGGCTCTGGCCAGGCAGCCAAGTGCTGGCTGGTCCTGGGGAAAGCTCATCCAGTGCAGCAGGGACCTGCAGCACTCCCAGAGCAGAGGCTCGAATCTGGCAGTGAGATAGAACAGTGCAATTCTAAGTAAGACATCACTCCTTAAACCTTTGTGTGTAACAAGAGTGATCGTTCAGCTCCTAAAATCTCTTCAACAGATGCCAGGTGGCTTCTCAAGCTACTTGAAAAAATAGCTCCTGACCAGATTCCAGTTTGAAGGTTCATGGAGGTTTCCTTAACTGGCTGAAGATGGTATCACCCAAGCTCAGGAACCCAGATTCAGATGGGTGGCACTGAGTGCTGAGTGTTTTCAAGCCCTTTATTGCTATGGTGGGTTTAAGTACACTTGGCAAAAGAAACCAGCACAAATGTATGCCTAAAATAGTAACACCACTAGTTAAAACAATAGTACAAAAGCACATACAATAGTAGTATTAGAACTATTGTGGCACTATTTCAACTCAGGAATTACTTCCTTCAAAAAATTGTGAATTCTGAGAAAATCCAGTAATCTCCTATGGAATTACAGAGACAAAAATGAAATCTGCTCAGATTAAAACCTAAGATAAACCTACATTTGACTCCCATGGTTTTGAAACAATGTCAGTTTACAATTAGAAGGAATGCTTTTACATGAAGTATTATTTTAAACACAGAACAAAAAATGTGAGTCTATGCAGTCATTTCTTCACTTAAATGGAATCAGTAAAGGTTGCTCTTTTGTAGGTTTTCTGTTTTCCGTTTTGTTTTGTTTTTATGTTTCTCTAATAGCAGCACTATTTTGCTACAATACAGTACCTGAGTTGTATTTGAAGATATTGTACACTGGTAACATTTCAGAGGCTATTTTTAGGAGTCATAAATGAGGATACACAGTCCCTTATCCTCAGCTATACTGTGCTGTGGCACAGAGGACAGGAGTTATAATTGCCTGCTTCTTTGGCTTTCATACAATGCTTACACACACTGCACATCCAGAATCGATACTCCAGGATAGGCTCTCCTGTGGCAACACATACAGGAAGTTTCCCATCTCCACTATTAAAAAAGAAAAGAAAAGAGTAAATAAAGCTGAAAGAATAAAAACATGGTGTGCCACTTGTTGATTAGAAGTTACTAAATCATGTAACACTTCACTGTTCAAATAAGCAAGTATGTAAATCTTCACACCAGAGGATGCCCACTCCCAGAACCAGACAGTCAGCAAATCAGAACCAGCAGATCCAAAACACAGAGTGAAAAGAAACTTTGAGGACCATATAAAGGTAAGGTCTGATTAGACACTTGCACTACTATCATATTCCTTTCTCTAAAGAGACAATTGACAGCCATTAGTGAGATTCTGTACAGCTGCACAGCAGGAAATACAAGTTAAAATCCTATTCGCTAAAATAAAATTGATTTACAATCGATTTCCATACTCACAAATTCCATGCTGTTAGCAGAAAACATATGTCAAAGACCTTACTGTGAGTACAGCCACTCCAAGGACTTATCCCTTAACGTCTGCCTTTCATGCTTTAATTTTTTCACTTGACATATTGATCTTCTCACACCCTGTAGATTTAGGTAATTCACAAAACACTGGAGACTGACTAGTTAATAATGGTTAAACATTCACTTGTTGACATTTGCTGCATGCTACAAGGGTGATGCAAACAGTAACATTATTAGTGTCATGTGACACAGTATCAAAGGTCCTAAAACTCCTGTGCTCTGTCTACCTGCATTTCAAATTAAGATGAAGTTACATCTTTATGCCCAGACCCCAGAATGCAGTCAGTGTCCTCCTAAATAACATAGTGCTGTACTACCCTTCCTGCAAACTGGTTAATGCCTGCATCATTCCTGCCCAATATTTGGTTTAAGCAACAAAGCACTTAATGAACTTGGTCACACAAAACCTGCTAAAACCCAGAATATGGACGACAGCAGAAAAAAATTACAGTATTGTTACAGTGCCACATAAAATTAAACCCACCTCTCTAGAACATCATCCAGATCAGATTTTTTGTTATACTTCGGACTGTATCTTGTGAATATCTCTAGAGCAAGGTCTTCATACTGTTGCCTCTGCTCTGGCCTAAGAGCTTCCAAGGACTGTAGTTTAACAAAGGCTTTTGAACAAATATCAAATGCTCTGTTTGCACATGCACAGACTGCCAAAAGGGAATAGATTTCAACTGCAGGGATAATGTCTTCATAATCTCGCAAATGAAGAGCTAAGGAATGAAAAAAAAAAATCCAGTTAAATTATGATATGTCTCTGAGAAGTGCAAGCATCTGTATGAAAATTTTGCTACTAGGAGACAGCATTAATCCCTCAAATTGGACAAAATGAACCAAATTCTTTTCACTGACGTGACTATGAAGCATTGCTTTTTAACAATAAATAAAATTAAGGGGATTTGACTGGGAAATTGAAGTGTCTTCTTGAAACACTTCATTTTGTTTGTTTTGCTTTAAACATGTTAGAAGGATCTGAAATAGATCTTCATTACTTGGACAAAGGATAGGACACTGCTTCTCTAACTCCCACAGATATTTTTATGAAGCTTCACAGGGAGGTCTGATGTGAATTCAGGTATGCCTTATAACTTATGGAAACAAACAAAACAGTCAACAGAACATCTCCAGAAACTGACCAATTTAACCAGGCAATATTTGGAAAGTTAGATTTGCATTGTCTTCAAAAGAGAACTTCCCAGGCACCTTGGCTGTAGCCATATTCAATTCATTATATGGTTTTGTTTTAAATTCCATAGATCTCGTAAGAATAGAAAAATGTGCCAGCTATAAATGAGCCTATGTGAGCTGTGCAGGTGCTGTACAGGTGGAACAGTTAAAAGTTAAACAGGGTTAAAAGTGAGATATTACCTGTTTTAAGTGCTGCATCTACAGAGCCTTTATAGAGCTGTTTTTGTGCAAGTATGAAGAAATGGTAGGCCTCAGCACCACGCCAGGCATTGTCTGCAAAGCGATTAGTTGAAGAAAGAACATCTTCTTCTAGCAAACCAGCCAAAGCTGAAGCACTCTGAAAACAAAGCAGCATCAGAAGTAATTTTTATATGAAACAGATACAGCAGGAAATGGGGATACATGAAAAGAACTTTTCTATGCTTAGTGATTACACCACTGTCTGTGTTAACTAGGGAAAGTATAAACAGACCTGAAGTGAACACTGTCAGGTGTTTCACACAGAGCACAGGCACAGCACATGGTGCAGATTTTCAAAGATAAATATCACATACGTGTGGTTAAATGTATTTTGTGCACATCTGCAGACGGGTTCATAGTTTGGAGTAATACTGCATTTCAACACCAGAGCTCTTAAAACTTTGTTTAAACTATTTCATATAGTTTAGGTGCATATGAAGATGAAAGTGCGAGCAGAAAAAAAAATTCTTCCGTTTGTTTCCCCTGTATCTGGAGCTGCCTCCCTGCTAAACTACAGGCAACATAGCTTAAGCTAATCACAGACTGCTCTTTGGGATTGATACTTACTTCTAAATTATATGAAAGGAAGAGTCCACCAGGAAAAAAAAAATCTGGAATGTCTTACTATGATTTTCATTGTTATAGTGAAAACATTAAGAAAAATACATTAAACTTAGGAATAAAAATATCTATTAATACATATATGATGTAAATGTTTTAAGATAATATTTAAAACAATATGTTTTCATGGAAGACTTGCTTTAAGGAAAGCTTTGTTCCAAGCAGGGAAAAGAAGTATTAAAAAGCCTAACAGGCTCTCATGAAGATAGATTGCTTTATTCTGACTTGGTAGCACATACCAGAATTCAGAAAGAAGGAAAAAGAAAAGGCACTACCTCTGAGCCTTTCTCTTTAACTTTTCCCCTTTGTGCATTTTGCATTTGTTCATGGTACTGTTCCATAAGTAAGGCTGATAACACATAAAGCTTTTTAACTCGCAATGGCTTCGTCCTTTTGTTTGACTCTTCATCTGCAATCTTAAAAAACAAAACAAAGGAATTTAATTCTCTTGGACAATTGCATGCTTGTACATGCCAAAAAATGATTCTGCCTTTAAATGTAATAATTTAGACTGCAAACAGAACTATAAATGAAAATGTCAAAGTGAAGTATGCACTTTATTCTATATTTATTTATCTAACATGTGAATAAAGCCAGATTCTCAGGAAGGATAAATCAGTGTAACCATGCACAAGTCTATTGACTTAATGTAAAAATAAACTAAAAATAACGATTTTTAAACACATACATAGCTTTCAATAAGGTCTGGTGGTTTTCCCAGAAAAGAATGGCTTTTGAAAGTAACATATATTATATATATACTGCTATAAATATTTGCTGTAAAAATTACATATCACTCTTACAGACTTGAAGCTATGCACAGAAATCTGTGCAGCCAAACCAAATCTAAGCAACATCCCTATCTTAAAAACACTCCATGGCTGTTTCTAATTGAAAGTACTAATTGAAGAAATAGCAAAATGTAACTTGCAGTCAATGACATTGCTATTTCTTTTAAAAAGGAGGTAAAATTAACCCATATAACGTGTGAAATCATGTGAATATTGCACCCAGGCCAGTGTACTGAACTCCATCACTAGGCAATGCAGGGCAACAGGACCTTTTTTGAGATGCAGGTCATCTCACACTGATGTGAAAGCATCAAAATGAAATAGACTCAGGCTTGTGTCCCAAAAGTCTCTTCTCCACTGGCTACAGAGGACATCCAGGGTAACTGTTACAGATACCTGCAATCTTTGAGTTGGATTCATCTTTGCAGTATCCTGTATAATGACATCTGCTTATTGCCTACATTGTTAGAAGTAAAATAAACCCAAGAGAATAAAAGTAGCATGGAAATAATAAAAGCTAGTCCAAAAGCCCAGTTATTTGACATAAAAATAAAACCTGCAATACCTTGAACATGAGCTTAGCAGCTTCAAAGAAGTAACTGGCTTTACGATAGAGTTCTATAGCATCAAAAATTTTATTCTTTTCCAGTAAATGACTTGCATATCTGGCTAACAAGGATCCAATCTCTTTCATATTGTGATTTTTAGCCAGCTCCACAGCTTTATTCCACTAGAAATGAAAGGAGACAATTACTAACCTCATTTTTTCAAACATTCTCAGAACAAGTTGATTATCCATGAATAGACTACAACATTTGTGTGCAATACTTCATCATCATTTAGAACCAGACTACTATAAAATTAGCATAAAAAAGCAAGAGAATACAAATGCTGACACCATTGCCAATCCTGTGATGCAGCAGGCCTGTGAAACAAATGCTGGACCTCTGTCCAAAACCACATACGAAACAGTTGTTTCTGCTTTAGTAAAAGCTTTGCAAAAATCACTTCCTTGCAGCTCATAGCTGGACACATGGATTTCAACACTTCTGGTATTACTAAACCCAGACTTTAAAAAGCATGTCCAAAAGAGGTCTTCAGCCCAGAAGCTTAAAGCACACGGCACTTTACTTATCCTTCTATACACCTCATTTCGTCTGTGAATTTTCCTGATCTTCAGCAGTTTGGCTACTGTGTTTGCCACAGACCAAAAGTTTGGCAGGACTGAGAAACTTAGCAGACTCTCATACCCAATAGCTCTTCAGATCCTTCAACTAGGAAAGTCTTCACATAAAGCCAGCACTAGCTAGTCCTGCCACTCCCATACATCAGGTTCCTCATAGCCATCCCCAGTTTTTTTCTTTTTTGTACTGACATGAATGTTTGCACAGGTAAGTCATACTGGGAAACAGCTCTAGCTGTAAACATACAGATCAGTTTTCAGATCAGTGTTTTCCAGCTACATCCTCACACAGTCACAAATCCATTTGCATTTGTGCAAAGAAGGAGGGGGGTGTGGAAAACATCCAGAGCAGACATTTATCTCCTCCAGTCTTCCTCCCATTCCATCAGGAGGCAGCACAGCCCAGCTCCACAGAGGCTGCAAATGTCTGCATGCTGAGCACACGCACTGCATACAGCTTTTTACTGTCCCTCCAATGATCTAATCCCAATCTCAGAGAACTGGCTTAAGCACTCAAATATGCATTCTCCAGAAACCTTGACAAATCATCAGACACTTAAGAAGGACTTGTACTTAACTGGACATTAGGACAGAAATCTCACTGTTAAACTGGTACCAGTAAAGCAGATTATCTCCTGCTGTTTTACCTGGTTGAGATGCACACAGGTATCCACTGCATCCTTTGGTCGATTACATTTCAGAAAGGCTGACACAGCTTGTTCACACATCCCCACTCTTACAAACATATAAGCTATATCCTGCAAAAAGCATCAGCACTGTGTTAGATTCACTTCCACATTTTTAGTACCTTGTGCAGTAACTGCAATACTGTTATAGTGCTTAATTTAGTCCCGAGAGGTTGGGGAAGGGGTTTGCTTCATGGATTCTGTGAAGGCAGCATGCACAGCTGTAAGCCTTTAGAACAGTGTGTTACTTTCACATACTGGGTCTAAATTTAAAAAAACAATTTAAAACCTTTGCTTTCAAGTCAAAACATACCAGAAGGATTTTATTCTTACAGTTTTGAGTATTTCATGAAACTTCACTATTGCAATGAGGTTAAGAAGAAACTTCTATGCCTTGCTTTACTGAAAATGGTGTTAAAGGGACATGTTTTGCATTTTTCAAGCATTTAGAATTAACCAACCATAGCATAGTTTTAAATTAGCTATTACTTAGTAGGTCATTTCCTACTATATATACACACATATACCCTACACACCTCTACACTCTATCCCACCTACTTTTCCTCCTTTCAGAGTATCTTCAGTTTCCATTGTACATTAGCAATCCCACCAGAGCCACCATGTAAGAAGTTAAACTAGGGATAGCAACCAGGAAGGACTTGGGGGGAAAAAAAACAAGTGCAGACAAGATGACAAAATGAAAGCTAAAGTAAGTGTCCAACCATGAGGAATGACTTGCCAGAGAAGCACAGATATTTAAGACAGAAATGCAACAATTTGAGGAGAGAAACAGTACATTATGACTTAGCCATGTGGCCATAAAACATGATGAACAATCAGGTTTTTCTGGAGACTAGGATGATGAGCAAAAAGAAGAATAATGGAGTATGAAAACAACAGCAATAGTGGAGATCAATACCATAGTAACACCATTACACTTAAGTGAGTTGGTCATATGCTGCATTCTTTCCTCCTCAACCTTCCCAAGACAGGAGTTTTTAAATAAATAGTTGGGTATAAGACAATGAAAAAGAAAAGTGCTTTTTGCTTACAGGGAGCAATTTATGATTCTCCGGAAGTGAGTCCACTAGATTCTCCAGTCCTTGATAGTCCTCTAGCATGTAATAACATTCAGCTAAACGTTCCTGATTTCGTCCTTGGACATAATACTGTACAGCATTTAACCTAATAAGACAAAAAAATGTGGTGGCTTCTGATAAATAAACTTCAGAAGTGAAGTTTTTAATTCTGAAAGTGTTTTGCATTCATAGATTTAAAACTGCATTATTTTAAATAGGTAATTTTGCTAGAAAAAGCTTTTGTAGCTAGAATTTCAGTTTTTCTAAAATGACTAAAACTTTAGTTTTCAGAGATCATTAGAGCAAAGTAGTAGCAAGATTGATTATCTGGCTTGCATAAAGTCAAGCACTGAGACCTCCAAGACCATTCTCCAAAGTAACCTAAAGCACCTAAAAATCAACTTTCAAAACGTAATCACAAGTTTTTAACTGCTTTGGGACCCAAGTTCCTTGTGATAATACAGTTTGGGTAGTCACAACACATAGTGGAGCTATGGAACTCAGACACGGGCTTAGAAGACAACAAGAAAAGTGCATGAAAAAAATTCTCAGCAAGCTATTAATTATGAAGACATTACCTCTGGCTCAGTAAGTACCTGACTGCGTAAGTGTTCTGGAGAAGCACCACTACATGTGTGCACTGTCCTTAAAATCTTTCTTGGGTGCCCAGTTTGGCAATAGCTGGAGGCAAACCGAAGTCAGAGAGAACTCTGGACCTTTACAAATATTTGTGGATTGAAGCATTCTATAAAATTCAGTGATGCTTAATAATTCTCTCCTACCTTTAACTGCTTGGGGTTTTTTTCTTTCCTACTTTCTGTATTGTGCTGGTTTGAGCTGA